CGCCAATGGACGAGAAGTACCTGCCGGAGCTGATGGCGGAGAAGGACTCCCTGGACCCGTCCTTCACGCACGCCCTGCGGCTGGTGAACCAAGGTGAGCGCGGTGCGGGAGCGGAGCGGGGCCGCCGTGTCCCGCCGGGGCTGGGACGAGCCGGAGTTGGTGCCGATCGCTCGGTGAAGGGGTTTCCTCTTCGTTTGGAAACGCTTAAGCGGTTGGGTTTTTTTTCCTGTCTGTTCAGGCTGCCGGTGTTTCCCGGCTCCGTCCTCATCGCCGGGCTGCGGGGAGGAGGTGCGGGGCTCCCGGGCGGTGTGTCCTGTCCGTCCTGCCTTCCTGCTGCTCCTCCAGCAGGGAAAACATCCCCCCAGGCAGCGGCAGAGGCTGCCCTGCCTTCCCTGACACCTTTCATAGGTGTCTTTTTTTAAATAAGAGCGAAGGTATAACCGCTTGCTGCTTGAGTTATAAATTATTCCAAGTTTTCTGTGCTCTGCTTGGGCTTCGAGTCGATAAAAACCCCAGAGAAGGTTTCCCCGGGGTGTGTTTCTGAGCAGCTTATTGTTTACAGACGTGGAAACCTGTTTTAAAAAGGAGCCTGCAACCGATGTCCTTTCCTCCGAAGTTCTGGCTCTGTGACTAAAACATTGAGGAACGAGCAACGCATTTGGGTGAATCTTTTAAAGCAAAATATTTTGTGTTCTTTTTGCAATGATGTAACTCCAAATAATAAGCAATTCCTACTCCTGCATCCAGCGTGTCAGATGTGCTTTAAAGTGCTCGCTCTTTGTTTCACTGATACAATTCTGAATGGAAAAGTAATTCTGCGTGGTTTCCAGTATGATTTAGTGCAAATTTGGAAATAGTGTGTAATTGTCAGGAGACTTAAGTTCAGCTCTGGAGAGACAAACACTTGGTGCTTGGGATGCTCAAGTGAAATAAGCTACTAACTGATCTCCTAATCTGATTTACTGACAGCCGAAATTATTTTGGCTTTAGTTGAAGTGTTTGCACTTCAAGCTGTGCTGGGATACTTTGCTTCCTATAGCAGAAACAGGTAGAAATCTATGTATTTTCTTTCAATGCATTGTTGTAGTTCTTGTGTAATGGGCTGCGAGTGCCCCTCTCCAGATCAGAAGGGGAACCGACTATTGTCTGAACCATTCTAGAGTCAGGGGTAGCTGTCACAGTTTCAGCTGTGGAATGCTTGTGCCATGTGGTTTGTGGCTGCATGTCCTTGGATGTCTGCTATTTTGCATTTTTTTATTAGCTTTGTAAAAAATGCTGCTGTTGATAATGGGAGAAGAACTATGATAATGAATAGATATTTGTGGGTTTTGCATAAGTAAAAAAACTTGTTAGAATTTATCTTGATGGCTGGGAATTTAAGACTGAAAACTAGTGAAGCTCCTCTTGAGCTAGTGGAGGTAGAATCATTTTTTTCATAGATAAATTATTTACAAAGTTCCAGAAGTATGTGATTCCCAATTTACAAATGTAACATTTATGGTAGTAGATATGACTGTATGGCTGTTACCAAAAGTATGACTTTTTAGGACTCTGATAGTATTTTAAGGTTCTCATTCTCATGAGAACTGAGAGAGCAGACAACCTTCTGCCTGCTTTTATCATTTCATACTTGGTATCTGCATGTCTAGTTTCAACTCCAAAAATAAATTATAATGTCAATGAAAAAATGCAGATGGATGTGGATTCAGCATCTTTATTGTAGGATACCTCTAGATGTTTTACTTTGAAAGTGAAGTCTTGCATTAGGCAGAGAGTTCAAGGAGTGTGATTATCGACTGGTTAACTAGTTTAAAATGCACATTCTTATCATATCTATGTAAAATAAATATATCAGGCAGTTGTTGAGTCACCAAAGAACCAAATAAGATGAAGTGACTGTATGGGAAATGGATGACTTCAGGAGGAGATGTTTTACAAATCCATCCTGTTATGATGCTAACTTTATCAGTGACTGTTTTTTCTTCTCAATTGTAGTAATTCTGTGTGGTTAAGGCAGTTATTAGTGGAAATGTATATGTAAGAGTTCTGGTGTGTACTTAGCAAGTCAGATACACTGAGTTCTTTCTATGATAGTTCAGTCAGCAGGTAAATGAAATGTAATTTTTTTCGTCTAGGTTTGACTAGCTTTTCAGTTTAGAATGAAACATGTTTCTCAGTTTGGATTCTTCCAGGTTTGTGTAAGAATGTTTTAGCAAAGGTTTTAAGTGCTTAAAATAACCAGCTTAATTATGTAATAATATATTGATATCTTAATAGTATTACATTTGCTATCTGTATTTACCTGAACTGAAATGTTGTAGATCAGCCAGTTTTCTTTAAGGCTCAAGATTGATTTGTAAGAATTGTATGGTTGAATTAGCAAATCCTTCAAAGGTGCTGAAGGAACTGAAGTGTGTACTGTGTAGACAAAGAACCAAATTGCTGACAAATTTCTGACAATGTTGAAATTTAGTTTTGAGGGAAAAGTCCTGTGTCTAGACTTCCAAAATCTGTTAATTATAGTTCTCAAATGAAGTGGACGCATTTGCATATGACGTTTATAATTACAAATTATGAATTGGGTACATAGAGATTACATAATTTTAACTGATTCAGGGGAAAAAAAGTGGAGCTTGAAATGCTTTTAGAGTTCCAGGGTAGCCTTTCAGTTGAAAAAGAATGCTGTGGAGATAGGTAGGATGCTGCAAGAATACTTTCCTGGGTGCTATTATTAATCTGTATTTAAAAATTGAGAGATTACAGCATCTCCTTTTCCCCTAACAAAACCTTGTCTGAAGCTTTTTGAAAGCATTGCAATAAAACATCAGTGTCCTTCATTGTTGTTGCATAGTATATGGCAGTGCTGATTTTTCTTGTTGAGAAAATTGGTTAAGTATTTTATGAGTTTTTCTCTTTGAGACACAAATGTAAGACCTTTTGCATGAATTTTGCTTCAAACAGTTGTTGAAACATTCATCTGCTGCTTAAATTTTGAACAGTAGGAATCTTTTGCAGGAGTCTAGACTATATCCTTTGCTGTAATTAAGATTATTTACTTGTATACTTGAACATTAAGCTTTCCTTAAAATGGCATTTTTTTAACCTGTAAGCCTTTAAATATGCTATAGATTGGAAGTAGACTTGTTTTTTGTGTAGTAAGATGACCAGGCTAGTAGGATTAATTTGCAGCTGGTAACAGACAATGGGAACTGGAATTATGTCCAATCATTATCTTTTAATAAGTTAAGTCATTGAAGAAGCTCAGGAAAGGTGAGATTCTGCGAAGAAGCAAGAGTTTAGTACATGCTTGTTTGTATTTTGCCTGTTTGCAACTCTCAGGTGCTCATCTTGGTGCAAAATATGAAAAATATTTTTTCATGTGGAAGTGATGCTTGTTCTGAGAGCAGGGTAGATTATTGTGGTTTTTTTATTGCAAGGCACTGAGCAACTTTACTTTTCTGCCTTTTTTGAGTTCTTTATTTTGAAGGCTGACTTTGCACTTGGGCTTGTATGTAAATGTGCCAGTGAAATGTTGATTGTCATGATTTCACAAATGGTGCTGTAAAAACTCTGAAAGATCTGTAAGACAAGTGTCACTTTATCATCTTTTACATCTGTGGGTATTGATTAATGGCAAGTATTTTGTGAATGCTGCGTAAAGCATGTGAAACTGCAGATGGAAGAAGCTGACTGTGAATAAAACATGTCGATACCGAGACGTGTTTTGTGACAGGGGAGATATTAATATGGATGCCTGTCACTTGTTTGACTTGTATGATTTTAAGTGTGTAGCTGAGGAGCACCCTGTAATCAAAGACTGGGCAGGTGAAGTCCCTTATGTCAGAAGTTAATGAGCCCTGGTGCTGTTGCTGAAAGACAGCTCTTCTGTATAGAGTATACCTGTGGAATTCTTCTCTACAGCTCATTTTAGCTGCTTTGAGATTTGAGACAGTATCTTAAATTGGCAAGGCTTCTTTTAAATTGTCAACAAGATGATGTATAGGGATAACAAGGGATAACAAGCCTTCCCATCAGTAGATGGCTGTATGTGCTAGCTGTGTCTTGAATGGGTTTACTGAGCCACGTGACAAGCAGTGATCAGGAGAGGCTTTCTGGCTCTTCTGTCAAATTTTAAGTAGGATTTTAGTAATCAAATAGACCAGTGCCTCCCTATGTATCAGAGTGGAATGTGAGAAGTGTACTGGCTTTCTGCATTGTGGAGGATATCAGCTACCTGATTTGTTTAGCAGGTAAGGGATAGCTCAGCAAAAATGTTTGATGTAGGAACTTAGAAATGAAGATTCACTAAATGTTACTGATTTCAGCAAGCAAGAGATTTTGGGTGCTTAGCAAAGATTTCCTGATTTTTTTTCCAAGCAAAATTCTAATTTTTCACGTTTCTAAAATGTGTACTTGATTACATAGTGAAGTGTCACATATATGTTATAAATCAATTTCCT